CTGGTGCCCAATTCCTCTGCCCCTGCAGGTGTGTCACACTCAGTGCGGCCTCCCCAGGGAATCCTGAGCAGTCATTCCTGATGACTCCTTGTTCCCAGAGCATCTTCAAGGGGCCACGGCAGGCGGGGAGTGGGAGGGGTGGGGGTAGGTGACATCAGGCCACACCTGGCCAATGGAGGGGGGTAAGCAGTGCTGAGAACCAGCCTGCCCGTCCTTCCTGGGGGGTATTAGCCGTAGGCCACTGGGGTGAAGGGCCACTGAGGGGTCAGGAGGAGGCGGCTGCAGTAGCGGGATGGGGTCCTGCCCCGGTCTGGCACTCACAAGCCGAGTGGCTGGGGACACTGACGGCCTCTCCCAGCCTTGCTGTCTTCATTGGTTAAGTTTAAGGAGAGTCGGACTTCAGGGGGTTTTGTGGAGGAGAACGAGTGAGATAATAGCACTGTGAACGGGCCACAGACAGGGAAGGTGCCCGCTGGCCTTTGGGGGACACTCAGCTGGACCAGCAGCTGGCCGCGCGGTAATGAGCCGCTGTGGAATGGAAGCTTCTGTCGGGGAACCTCTGGGACCCCCCACGCAGGCTCTGGGAGAACCTGCGCTGGCTTTTCAGGGATAGCGCTTTGTAGGGCCTGGGTGTCACGGGGAGAGGCTGCAGAGAGGGGCCTCTCCCACTGACCCCACGCCCCCCATCAGCACTGCTCCTGTCTCATCATCTCTCTGCCCCTCCCTTAGCTTGGCCACATGGACAGACAAAGCCCCAGGTCTCTGAGGGGCGGCTACTCCGCAGGTGGGGGACCTGGTCCGGCTCCACTGCACGACCTGGGCTGGGTCACTTCCGCCACAGATGCTCCCTCCGGGATCCCCCCACTTCCTGTTCTCTCCTTCGTCCCAGTGTAGAGAGAAGAAGGGTGAGTGTAGGGTGCAGGTGGGAAAACCAGGTGAGCAAGGAATGCCGGGTCCCAGGGCGTGCGGGGATGTACAGGGACTGGCGATCAGGACCCGAGATGGCAACACCTAAGAGCCAGGAGTGAGGCTTTCTCTCCAGGTCGTCCCGTGACCCCAGGCCAGGCCCTTCCTGCTCCTTCCCTTTCCCTCCACAGTCAGGGTAACTCACCGTGAGGGAGTCGCCCAGGGCGGCGATCACCTTGATGTCCGCGGGCTTCAGCCTGTGAACTGAGAACCAAGTGGGAGTGAATGGAAGATCGGGGTTCCTGTCTCCTCTGCAAACAAATGACGATCTCCCAGGAAAACAGAGCAAGCCTGTTTTCCACAGCAGTTCAGCTGGGGCAGAGATATTCAGAGCTGTCCTTGCCATGAGGGTCAGCAACAGCAGGCGGGAGCCTGACTGCCGGTCCTCCCTGGGGCACCTGGGCTCAGGGCTCTGGGCTGGAGTGGCCCAGCTTGCAGAGGGGAAACCTGATGCCACAGGTGAGCAGCATCCGTAGGGCATGTAGTGGCCCCGGACATGGGGACGAGGGAAGGAACTCCGGTGGACTCACGACCAACACTTAATCCAGTGGTTCTCAACCTTGGCTGCACATTAGAATCACCTGGGAATCTTTTAAAAATATATATATATTTTATTGATTTTTACAGAGAGGAAGGGAGAGGAATAGAGAGTTAGAAACATCGATGAGAGAGAAGCATTGATCAGCTGCCTCCTGCACACCCCCTACTGGGGATGTGCCCGCAACCAAGGTACATGCCATTGACTGGAATCGAACCTGGGACCCTTCAGTCCCCAGGCCGACGCTCTATCCAGTGAACCAAACAACCGGCTACTGGGAAATCCTGATTTCTGGGCGAATGAAGGCCAGAAATCAGGATTTTAAAAAGATTCCCAGGTGATTCTAATGTGCAGCCAAGGTTGAGAACCACTGACTTAATCTATTCTAGGATCCGGTCATATTCGGGGTAAAGTCTCCTATCATTCTGCTAATGATATTAGCTCAGTTTCTCTACAGTGAAGAGGGGAACTGCTTTCACACCACTATTTTTTTAAATCAAGGTAAAATTCATATAACATAAAATCAACCATTTTAGAGTCAACAATTCAATTGCATTTAGTGCTACTTTCACAGTGTTGCTCAACAGCCACCTCTATTGAATTCCAAAACATTTTACCCTCAAAGGAGACCTGTGCCCATTAGCAGTCACTCCCCATCTCTCCCTCCCCCCAGCTCCTGGCAACCACTAATCTGCTTCCTGTCTCTGGATTTGCCTCTTCTGGACATTTCCTACAAGTGGCATCGTACACTATGCGGCCAGCTGTGTCTGGTCCTTCCACTTTGCATAATGTTTTCAAGGGTTGCCCATGTTACAGCATGTGTCAGTACCGCGTTCCTTTTCATGGCTGAATAATATTCTATTGTATGGACATACCATATTTTGTTTGTCCATCCGTCCATCATTTGAAGGACATTTGGGTTTGTTTTCACCTCCTGGTGATTGTGCACAGTGCTGCTATGAACATTCCTGTACAAGTGCTTATTTGAAAGCCTGTTTTCCATTATTTCGGATATATACCTAGGAGTGGAATGGCTGGGTTATATGATAATACTATGTTTAGTTTTTTGAGGAACCACCAAACTGGTTTTTACAGCCTGATTCTATGTTTTACCTCTCGGGTTGCACATACTGTGCTTGGCTAAGCAGCTGTCTACTCACATGACAAACATGTTCAACACCAAGCCGTGGCCGGGTGCCCTGGGACTACACAGTGATCAGAAAAGTTAGGTGGCCTCAAGAACCTCACAGGCTAAGGAGGAAACGGGGAACAGCCATAGTTATAATAACCGATAGGTTGGTAAACACTCTGAGAGGTATGAAGTGATAGAAAGTGCTGGGGCTGAGGGGTGATTGACCCCCTAGGGGTGTGATGGGGGGGAGGGAGGTTCTGAGCAGGCTGCATGGAGAAGGTGGTGTTTGAACTGAGCCTCAGGACATTATGAGATGAGATTGAGAGAGAGCCAGGCAGGTGCTGGAAAGCATAAAGGATGGACGTGGTGCCTATGAAGAACGGATAGTTGTACGGTTTGGTTAAGTGATGGGTAGAGAAGACTAACAAAAATAATGTTGAGAAGTAGATTAGGGCCACAGGCCTTTTGTGCCTGGTAAACATGAATTTTGCTATACAGGGTTCATATGGAAAGCATGATAATTAATAAATAATAATACAAGAATAAGTTCTGTGTTTTGCACACTCACAACTGTAGACCTACTTTTGCCCCATCCTGTATACAGAATAACTTTCACGGGTATACCTGCACTATATTTATCTACCCCTTCACCTTATACCCGTAGGCATGTGAGTCCAAGCGCATTTTGGGGACCACACCTAAGATTCTTTATGTCATATGTAGCTCTGTCCTCTCAAATCACAAGCTCACCTCCTACTACCCCCAATATCTCCCGTTCCCCTAGAGTGCCTTGTGCCACAGTCACGCTGACTTTGCCATAGCTCCACGTTCCTCTTAGATGTGCCTCCCTCGTCTCTAGTGGTGCAAGGCTGAGCTACATTGTCAAATAGCCTCAGGCCTTCGGAGAAGCCTAACAGCATTGGTACCAGGGAGGGGCCCACTCCCAGAGGGAAGAAGCCCATCATTTCAGCAGCCATTGCTTAAAATGGATAAACAGAAACTTGTGTGCAAGGAGGCTCTCTCTATAGCTCTTCTTTGGCAGGTCACTTTATAAACATACAGTGACACACAGATAAGAGAGGCTTTTGACACAACTGGACCACATATAGCCCACTTCACTCATCAACATCCAAATCGTGGCTGTATCATTATACCTGTGGAGGAAGCTGCATTAATACTCAGTGGAAACAATGTCTTGGTTCCTTCCATGGAGACATCTTGTCTACCTGACTTCCATGCTGTCTGCAGATGGGGAACTGCCACTCCCCCTGAGGAATTGCTCTCATTGGAAAAGTACAAGTCCCTGACTCTTCCCACAACAGCATGCACACTAACACATACATCGTTGTGAATGTGCGTAAGCAGAATATATATGATCATGGCCCTCAAATGTGAGCACGCACCAACCATCTGGAGAGCTTGTTAAAACACAGATGGTTGGTCCCCACCCTCAGAGTCTCTGATTTAGTAGGTCTGTGGTGTGCCCAAGGATATGTGTTAGAAGAACAATATCAAATCACAAAGCCAGCTGCACACATTAGCACACACCAACGGGGCTGAGCCTAAGAACTTCAAAACGACCTCTTCTCAAAGAAATCAGGCTGTGGGTAAAAAAAAGGCAACAAGGAGTCTAGAACAGTGGTTCTCAACCTTCCTAATGCCTCGGCCCTTTAATACAGTTCCTCATGTTGTGGTGACCCCCAACCACAAAATTATTTTCGTTGCTACTTCATAATTGTAATTTTGCTACTGTTATGAATCATCATGCAAATATCTGATATGCAGGATGTATTTTCATTGTTACAAATTGAACATAATTAAAGCATAGTGATTAATCACAAAAACAATATGTAATTATATATGTGTTTTCCGATGGTCTTAGGCGACCCCTGTGAAAGGGTCATTCGATCCCCAAAGGGGTCTCGACCCACAGGTTGAGAACCGCTGGTCTAGAAGGTTGATTTTAACTCCTGTTGATGAGAGTTAATCACTATATTCTTGTTGCCATAATGTGTAATACAGTGAATTTTGTGAACACTCTAAAGTGCAAAGGTTAGGGGAAACCTTTGGGGTGACAAATGTGGAAGAAATGGATATATTTGCATCCAAATCAGATTATAATTTGATAAAGAGGCAGCTGAAACTGACCATTCCTGTCTCCAAAATTTATAGCAGACAGAAAATATACATGCATGTATACATATATGTGTGTATACACACACACACACACACACACACACACACACACACACGTAGACAGATTAATTTATGTGTGATAGGGGAGGGGGTTTCTCCTATTGGTCATTATAAAGGATTTCCTATAAGAAATAAGAAACCAAATGAGCCAAGTCTAGGTGAGAGGAGTTTGACTTATCTGGGATTTTATTAAGATAGAGTCCAACACTTATCATTGGTTTAATATCTGTAGACCTTGATTTGAGCTTTGTTATTACATCATGTATGACAAAGAAACAGCCTGGAAATACAGCAAGCACCTTATCAATTGCTCTCCTTGGGAAAAGAACTATTTAGAGATAAGATTATGTTTGTGTGGGATGATTAGCTAAGCATTATCTGGTACAAGTTGTACAGCACCTTGAAAGGAATTGATAAACACATCATTAACTCATCAAGATTTCTTCACAGGGGACCTCTTATCTGAAGGCCATCCTAATGATGAGGAAATATGATGAATAGCAAGGCAAGGGTAGGCAAGAGTAGAGAATTGGGGACACTACCTTCTTTACAGGAAGAGTTACACCCAGGAGAAAGACTTGGAACTTTGGAGTTTTGTTTTGTGAAACCCAACAACTTAACCAAGTGGGGCCATTCTGAAACACAAACTTTCTCTTAATTATTAGCTAGGGCTGCCCAACCCATAAGCTCTCTGATTTTAGGGACTTATGTAAAGACTTCTGCAATGGTGCTAAACTGCTGGAACAACAGGGGGTCCTTGTTTTCTGCCTTTGAAGTGCTTTAGTGTGAGTTTATACAAAACATGTGTCTTGCACATAGTAGGAGCTCAAGAAAAGTGTTAAGGGCAAAGACAGGCTAAGTAAGGGGCTCTGTGTCAGGGATCTGACAGCTCTCCAAGCCTAATATGATGGAAACTACAGGGAAGGGAAACACTTATTTACCCCAATGTCTTGTGGTGAGTTTGAACTTGCTTAGCAGACTGGTCCCACCTAGGCACAAGCAGGCTGTTACTCCCTATGGGGCATCATGACTTCCTGGTCATGGGCTGGGTTAAGTTGCAAGACCCATAGCAGCGGTGGCTAACAGACAGCTCCAGGGTCTCTACTGGACATTAAAGCGCTGGCCCACAATGAAGCGAAAGCCTTAGGGGTCACTCAGTGCTGTGCCCTGGGGCATTTTTCATGTCAGCTTTTGAGTAGCTCATTTTAGCCAAATGGGTAAAATTAATAATATCAGGGACTTAGAAAGGAATCAATGGCTTAAATGAATGAACTGTTCTGAGTCATACTGTTGGTGACTGTGGCATATAATGAGCTTTGTGGATCCCCATTTGCAAATACTCTAAGGTGTTTTTTTTTAATTTATTTTATTTTTATTGATTTCGGAGAAGAAGGGAGAGGGAGAGAGAGACAGAAACTTCAAAGATAAGAGAGAATCATTGAAGGGCTGCCTCCTGCACACCCCACACTGGGGATCAAGCCCCACAACCCGGGCATGTGCCCTGACTGGGAATCGAACTGTGACCTCCTGGGTCATAGGTTGTCACTCAACTACTCATCCATGCCGGCTGGGCCAAATACTATAAGTTTTCTCTCTGCATGGAATTCGCAGCTTGACTTTAGCTTCAATAGATAGCCAATGAGCCATGTCCCTCTGATTCCTTATCATTGCCACTCTTTTGTTTGCAAAATGCGACTCCTTTTCTCACTGGGAAAACCTCAAGTCAGCTACCAGGCCCCAACATTTTTTCTCTCAATTATTCCAACTATGTTAGGGACAGGGCCATGGAATAATGTAAAATAATACAAGTGTTTATGAAGTTGTGAAGCCCACAGGAGATAGTGCCTAGCAAACTGTACATGTGAACGAACTGGAAGGAAAAAAAAATCAGAGGCTTGCATTCATTCATTCATTTATCCATCCATCCATTGGCTACCAAATTCCAATTGGTTATAAACATTACATCAACCCTATATATCTCACCCCAAACCCCACAGATCAGTGGAAGCGGTTTATCACCTGTGGGCTCCCATGGAATGAGCGTGAGGCACCCTGGCTGCCAGGAGCTCTGCCTGGCCTGCTGATGAAGGCAGTATCATAGTTTGAACCACCACTTTTGGCTAGCTAGGTTATCTCTGGGTTGGGTTGAAAGAAAAAACAGAAAAGGGACTAAAAAAGGTTTCGGAAAATAACTCTGAAGGCAAAACGGTTATTTTATCAGAAAAATGGTTTGAACAGGAGATACTTTGGTCTAGTTGGTTTGAAGGTCTTTTTCCACTCTGAGAAGTTGTTGATTTGCTGAATTAGAAATACTCAATAATTCAGATTAGTTCAGCAAACATGTATGGGCTCTTACCAGGTGCTGAATCATTGGGGATATAAAGATAAGATAACCTGTTGTAAGTATGTATCAGATGCCGTCATCTTGATTAAAAATCGCAAACGTGATCTCTAGAAAAGTGAACGACCTCACCAGAAAGATGATCATTATCAAGGGAAAATAATAATGTGGCCCTGTGCTAAGTCCATTTGCCTACTCCATTTTAAGTCACAAGTGTGCTTAAAATGTCCAGTCATAGGCCATGCACAGCGATGAAGTGTGTTTTCATTATGGTCCAGTTAGTGGTGGTCATTTGCCTGGTGGGACTCAGACATGAGGCCCCGCCTGGGGAGTGTTTCCATCCCACGCCCGCTTGGTTAGAGCAAGCCAGCCTAAATCTGCCCATCTGCTTATTCAAATAGCCCCTATCACCAGCGTATCTCAGATCTCAAGGTCATGAGATGTCTGGCACTTACATGTTCGAGTGCCAATGAACACCAATCTCCAGGGTCAGGGCATGAGGAAGAGGTTCAGATTTTATGTGGCTTTTAGATGCTGAGATATGCGCTCATGGATTGGTTGGTTATCACTGTCATGACAGGAACATAATCTAGGCAGATTGCAAAACACTTTGTAGCTCATTCTTGCAGAGTGATAAGATTAATGAGAGGAAGATAGCATTTCACTGTGGCTATTAAAACATGGACATTCATCCTCTCCTTTTCTCTCTCTATACATAGACACATAAATAAATACATGCACCTTTGAGGTTTTGCTATAGGAGGGCCTACATATGAGGTTAGTAACTTATTTCTGCTGCTAAAAATCCTGCTAATAAGCTAACCAAGAGGAGTGGGTTGTCACCAACTGTGTGTGGGGGGAAAAGTCAAAGACTAAAAGCAAGTGTGAGAGTGAGCGTGTGAGTGTGTGTGTGTGTGTGTGTGTGTGTGTGTGTGTGAGAACTCAACCATCCATTCCCTTCTTCTGCATTAGAGAACAAGAGCCAGTTATACACCAAAGTTTGGGGAATATTTGGCTTAATTAGAGTGCATAGGGCTGAGACATGTGTGGGAGGTAGGCTAACAGCCAGGGCATTTATTTGTTCTACTAACACTCAGCAAAAGGAGGCAACCTGACTACAAAGATTTGCATCCCTGAAAGATTCCTGCTAGACACTGCGGCCTCTCCAGACTTAATTGTCTACCCTGCAGGGCACGTAGGAGGCACTCAACAAGCATCTCATCAATGAATGAACAAGTGAACAAGTCAATGAACCAATGAGTCACCCTCCAGGACCCCATCTCACTGCTGCAGAAATATTCCTGGGCTGATGTTTGGAGTTGCCTGGGTCACCATATGGCCCCCTCCCTCCCCCCACCTGTGAGTTCCCATGGTCACACACACAGCCATCACTCCCAGACTAGCAGGCCTGGAGGAGAAGGCTCAGACCTTAGGCAGCCCCTCTGTGGCAAGGTCTCTGCCTAGAACATTCCATGACTCTCATTTTCATATCCAACAACATTTTAGAAATGTCAGCAGCAAAAATAGCACATTTCTAAGACAGCTTTCCTGTTCTGTGCGGGGCTTGAGGGTGTGTCCTGCACGTCGCTCTGACAGGGAGTGCGGACTGGTTACTTCTCTTTCTGCTTCCAGATAGATTTGCTTTTTGGAGAGCAAATCACCTCATCAAGGCTTGACGGCAGGGACAGTGACATGAGCTCTCTCTTTGCGGAATACGGCCCGCCACGTGGTTAATGCTTAATAAATGCTTTCTGACCGTATCATATCACATCACAACAGAACATATGATATCTTATCACATCACATCATATCATATCTTATTTCAGTTAAAGAATAATCAAACACAGGCATGAACTTACACATATATAGGCTTACTTCAGAGATATTGCGAGTTTGGGTCCAGACCACCACAATAAAGCGAGTGTCGCAATAAAGTGAGTCATCATCTTTTTTGCTGGTAGAGGGTATTGCCTTCAATTTGCAACAAATGCAACATCTGTGCAGCGCAATAAAACAAGGTGTGCCTGCACATGCAGAGCTGATTCTGTTGTCCTTGAAAAACCTCTCGGGTATACCTCAGGCTGTGTGCAAAGCCCTTGTCACCCTACGGCTGCTCTTACTCTGAGGAGTCCAGGCCTCACATGAGCTTAAAAATCACCTGATTCAAGTGTGTACCTGAGGTGGGAATCTTGTCGGAGGGATCCATGGCAGGGCACCTGATCTCCGTTCCATCTCTCACCTGAAATGAGACACAGAGAAAGAGGAGAAATGGGACACGTTGACATTGGGTGAGGAGTGGGGTATCTAAAATTGGAAAATATTACTTAATACAGCAACCCAACCATCTTTTAAGATTTCTTCCTCTCATTCAGCACTCAGATTTGGGTGCCCACAACATCCTCTCCAAATGCTTCCAAACCTGTCCCCTCTTCCCTGGTCCCTCTGCCTCAGCCTACGTCCAGGCCTGTTTCTTCTTGCCTGGACCATTCCAGTATTCATAGCATCACCACCTCAGGCCTCTGGCTTCCTTCCCAGCATCGAGGGGGGGGGTCTCTCTCTCTCTCTCTACATAATAAAATCAGGCCACTCCCTTGCCCAAATTCTCAGAGAAAGCAGGGCTTTTTAAAAAAAATCTGTTTTGGGTATTGCTATATCCCCAGAGCAGAGAACAGTATACAGTAGATGCTCATAAATATTTGTTGGTTGAATAGTAAATACATTTCTACTCTGTATTCATATCAACATAAAGTCCATCCTTCTTCACATGGCCTAAGCAGTCCCTGGTCATTCTAAATCACAAGAATTGACCCAACGCTCTTGGCTCTCCATACCTCCATCTCTTAGCCCAAGCTCTTACCTCTACTCTCCCTTTTCCTTTTCTTCCCCCCATTTCCCCACATTCCCATCCACCTGGTTCAGCCTCAGTCACCCTTCAGGGCTGAGGTGGTGGGTACTCTCCGGAAGTCTCCTTCCATCCTCCCCGGCCTCAGTTAGTTGTTCCCTGAAAGCTTCACGGAAACGTTGATTACAGACGTATCCACTTGTGCAATAACCTGTTTGGCTCCACCAGACTGAGTTCCTTAGGACCTGCGAGTATTTTATTGATGTTTTTGCCTCCCATGCCTGGTATCCATCCTTCCCCCCACCCACCCATTTAGTCACTCAACAAATAATGGTTAGGTACCTGCTCTGAGTCCCTGCCCTCACCGACCTTGAGTCCTAGTGGTATAGAGCAGGTGGGTCATCAATAGCTGTAACCTGCAGGAACGTATCACTCCCTATCACCAGATGAAAACAATGGTAACACGTACACGGAACTCTTAGCCTGCCGATCCTACCACACACGCTTTACACTTATTATTTGTTATGATTTCAAAACATCTCCATGAGGTAGGGCTATGACTTTCACCACTTCCCATGTCAAAATAAACAAGGCACAGAGGAGTTCACTACCTCGTCCAGTGACACAGAGCCTGTCAGTGGAAGAGCCTGGATTGGAACCCAGAGCCAGTTCTCTGCCCTCAGATTGTCCTCATTGCTATGGTGACAGTTAGAAGGTGCGGGGACAAGTTGATGAGCAAGAGAGTCTTCCACACTGTGTTTCTCGGGCTTCGTGGGGCAGGCCCCGGCCATCAGCACCGCCTCCACCACCGGGAGTAACCCTCACCCTCTTTTATACAATAAGGAGGCAGGGATGGCGCGAGGCTGAATTTGATGTAACCTGTATCAGTCCCCAGAGGAGGAGGACATCAGCCTGCAAGTGTCTCGGCTCCTCAGAGCAGTGCAGGTGCCCTATCTAATCTGACAGAGAGTTTCAGAGAGTCAAGAGATAAGCAATAAGCAAGATGTGAGTAAGTGTGAGGTGGCCCTTGAGGTAGGAGCTAATGTCAGAGGCCTCTTGGTCTCCACACTGTTTGGTTGCAGATTTTACTATATCTCTCGGCCTTTCCTCTTGACTTTCTCTTCTGACGAAGGCCTCAGATGAATTTAAACTGATGAACAAAATAGAAACAGAGGCATGGATACAGGGAACAGGCTGACACCTGTCAGACGGAGGGGGTTGGGGGACTGGATGAAAGAAGGTGAAGAGATTAAGCAAAAAAACCATACACATACACACATAACACACAGACATAGACAACAGTGTGGGAATCGCCAGAGGGAAAGGAGGTAGGGGCAGGTGAAGGTGGCCAAGGAGGGGGAAATGGGGCCGGAGAGAGACTTTGCTAGGGGTGATGGGCGCACCATACAGTGTGAGGATGATGTTTTGTTAAGTTGTACACTTGAACGCTGAAACCTGTATGGTTTTGTGAACCAATGTCACTCCAATAAACCAAAAAAAAAAAAACAAACAAAAAATGAAACCGCAGAATTGTTATTCTCTTAATTGCATTTTCTTAATCCTCGGAGATCGGGCTTCCAGGCTAGTCCTCAGTTTTTGGCTCAAATGCTAAACACTCATAAAGTGAGGGGAGACCTTCTTCAAGCACCAAGGAGACAGCCACACCCCTGATCCGTCATCCACCCAGCCTGCCCTTGGGGTTCCAGGACATAAAGCACCACATGGACATTTCCACAGGTTCAGCCCGGTATACGGCCCTGATTCATTTGCATGAGTGTCAACCACAGAAAACCTCTCCATACCTCAAGCTTCTCATGGGACCTTGGGAGGTAGTTGCTGTTTTTATAGGTGAACAGATATGGATTTTCCTGCAGAGAAAAATAATGTGTTGTAACCAGGACTCAGAAATCTGTACCCTTTAATCATCAGGCTGTATCACCCAGCAATGCCTTTGGCCAACTTGCAACATTCACACCATCACTTAAATGAAGGCCATTCTCTGGCTTTTCTTCTCTTCACTGCCTATGAGTTCCCTGAAGAAGCCCATTTATGCTTTAAAATTTCCCATTTGCCATAGTTGGCATCTCTGGCTCTCTACCAGCCAAGTACGTATATTTCCATGAAAGAAGAACTTAGTTGTAAGCTTCCTGGCAGCCAAAGCAAAGAGGGAAACAGGGTGAATTATACTGTTCTTATAGCCTCGCAACAAAAACTTACCACTTCATCCAGAAAGCCAAAACTTTCACTACCAGTAAATGACAAAAGGAATTCTACTCATTTATGGCATTTCCCCATCCATTTATTCAGCAACATTAACTACATGCCTATTACATATTTGGCACAGAGTTAAGAAACCCATCTTCACATTTGGGACGCTTGGGGCCAGGTGAGATATGGCTTTGTCCCTCTGCCTTTCCCAGGTGTGGAAGGAGCCATAACGCTACTAAAACAGCTCAATTCTGCCACAATGGCTGAATTCCGTAAATCTTATGTGTGCCACGAATGCAGAGCTATGACCAGACCCGGAACAGACCCACAGCTCTAAAGCGGCCAATGCCTCAGCCAGGCGAGAGCCCACCTCACAGCAAAGCCCGGTTGGTGGCCCCATCTCTCTCCTGATTCAGTGAGAGGTTTCCTCTCTCCCCAGGCCTGGCCTACCTGAGAGGGACATTTCATGGGCCAGCCCTCATCTGCCCTGAGTGGCTCATCTTTCTGTCCCGTGGGCTCCATCTAGAAAAGAAGGCGATCTTTAGAACAGAAAGTGAAGCTCGGGCAGCGGCAGCATTCCAGGGGCCACCGAGAAAGGCTCGTTCGTCGTGTTTCTCAGAGTTGACCCTGGACGCAGGATCACGTCACCTGGAAACACATGAGAAATGCAAGTATCCCGCCTGCCCTCCTCTGCCACACCCCACAAAGCCAACTCAAGTCCCACCGCGGTGGGGCTCTCCTGCCCTGTCACTGCGGGGTGCCCAGTCCAGCATCACTGCTGGCTGAGTTCAAGTCTACTCTTGTTCCTCTGAGTCGCCCGACCCTCCCAACTCCACCCTGGGCTGGGTGATGGCAAAGGCCGTTTGGTGTGTCTTTTGTATCCGCCTTGGACCCAGCACCGGGCACACAGTAGGTTCTCTCTCGTTGCCTGGGAGACAGGTGACGTGGGAGGGGAAGGAGGCAGTTTGGGCTGAGCTGGAATAGTCAGCCCTTCTGCCCAGAGAGAGGGCGGCGGGAGGGCGGCCCGGAGGAGGGGGCAGGTTCGCTTGCTCTGCCTCCACAGGAGGTGGCAGCAAATGGTTCCCTCGGAGATATCCACCCCAGGGTCAGGCCCACTGACAAAGAAAGCAAATGCTTTCTTTAAGGCGAGTGTGACCATTGACCAGGGCTGCAGGGGCTGCTCCCGCCCCGCTCACTCACTGCTGGCTAATGCACAGCTGCTCGAGGTACTCAGCAGAGCACTTAGTTGAAAAGATGGAGAAAACATTTTCTAACCCAAGAAGAAGAAAACCAAGTTCCTGTCACTGGAATTCTAAAAATAGGGCAGCGTGGATGGGAAAAAAATAAATGGCAAAATCAGGTGTGTGTCTGGTACCAAGGCTCAAAGTTTTGACATTCCATCCCACCCACTGACGAACCCAGGTAGCCCAGGGGGGCCTTGGAGTGGGGAAACCAGGCAGTTACGTGAGGAGCGCCAACACGTGTCGAATATGCACGGTGGGCCAGGAGTGCGCTACACACTCGCGGGGTCCTGGGCCAGTGTTAGGATCTGGGTTTTGCAGAAAGGGAGGGGAGACCCTCAGTTCACACGACCTGTGAGAGACGGCATTAGGATGCAAACCCAGGTCTCCATCGCTCGAAAGTCCATGCTCATCCAAGGTACCACCCTGGGCCTTGAAGTCACGTGATGGTACTTACATGTCACGTGATGGAGAGCTGGCCTGGATCGCTGTGTGAGATGTTCCCTAGGCCCCACTCCAAGTGCATCTCCCACACACTCCAAGGACATCCCCGGCCTCTGGGAAGGGCAGGGCTGAAGATGCCCAGGGAGCCCTGCATGCTGCCAGGGCTGCGCCCCCGCTCTGGGAAGAGGTGGTGAGACTCCC